AGTGTTCTGAAGAGTTTGCCTAGATAAAAAAGAAACGTCGTATTGTACAAATCTTTCTTTGTAAACGGACAAAATTAGGCAAAAACGACAACAAATCCTCATATATTTTGCAGCAGTCAGATCAGAGACATTGCGTGTCTGTGAAAACCATATCGAGATCATTTTAAGGAATGGTAATGTTTTTAGTTTAGATTTCAAAACAGGTGCAAATAATTTTGATGAAAATAGAGAATGATTCCTTTCGAGAGAGTGTTCAAATACAAAGAGCGACACAGGTTAGCTGCCCTGTTACCAAACAATAGTCCTGTGCAACTTTGGCTTTTTCAGTTCTCTGCCTTGAACCAAAGAGTGTTCCACTCATCTATCTTATCAGCATTTCTATCACAGTCCCAGGGTAGTGCTAGGGGTCCAGAATGATGTGTAAAAAGTTGAACATTCTGAACACACTTCAGAGCTAGCAGCTGAAAAGGAAATTCAGCACTTTGAGAATAAAGCTCCCCCCAGGAACTCCAGGAACAACCCAGCTGTTGTACTATAGCTATGTGTCAAGATAACAAACCGAGAGCAGGAAATGCTAACCTAGTGAATTCGCAGGATGGTCTAAGTGTACTACTGAAATAAAAGTTAACTCTTAATTCCACCTAAGGATGGGAAAGTACTGTCCTTATCACATACATGCCACATATCAATGGATCTACACACACACCTACATATATATATATATATATACACACATTTATACACATATATGTGCACACATGCATATGGTTTGCAATCCAATATTGAAAAAAATTTTTTCAGGTATTCATTCTTTAGTCTTTCAGGTGCATACATTTGACAAAGAAAATGTTAATGGCCATAGCAAGGAAAATGGAAATGACTGAGGACAATACTCCCTCCTTTTTGCCCTCCCTCTCCTGACCAACCAGATCCAAATAACCTTTACTGGCTGCTAAATTTCTCTTGGGAAATCAAGCAACTCTCTAGAATTGCAGTAATAAACGACAATTTCTTACAAAAACATGTGTAAAGTGACTACAGAATGAAGTATTCAACTCATAGAAAGGAACTGCTAACACATGTAACATGGAAAATAGCTGATAAAAGTCTCTTTGGTGCCATTCAATTATGGCATCAGCAGAAAACACAAAAATCCTTCCAATTATTTCAGGAAAATCTTCATTTATTCATTATTTCAGAGGCTGAGCAAATGGTTTGGGTAAACATATCCTTCAGTAACACGCACATGTTTATTTTAGCCATCTGAAGGCTTCTTCTATGTTTATATAAGCCATCAGACACATACAACCACTCACTTGTGGCTTTGCGTTTTCTTGAAAGGGGTGAAGGGGGGAGAAGGGAAAATGAAACAATAAATCCAGTTTCTCTCTTGCATAAAGCTCTCCCTCCAACATTTTAAAATAACTTATGTTTATATTATTCTTGGATTGTCCTCCAGCTTTCTTTTTCATTCAATTACATCAGTCTTCCATACTTGATAGCACAAGTGAAGATCTGGCTATAGTTTCAAGAAGGAAAGGCAGTTAGCAAGTAGCTGTTGGATGTGTTTACATCCACATAACCCTCATGTGCAAAAACATCATTTGTCCACACAGGAGGACAAAACTCAAACACAAAAGTACCTCCTTTAAGCAATTCATCACCTATTACTTTCCTAGGAGCTGAAACCATCCTGACTAAGGTGGAAGTGAGGTCTTCAACATTGTTTTCTGTGCCAGCTACAGTAACTGACCTATTGTGTAGACAGAAAACTTCACTAGCACACACACACACACACACACACACAGAAATAGCTCACAGAATTCTAATGTCAAAACAACAAAACGCCTTCAGGATCACAACCTAGTGAATCTGTGAAAACTTTCCAAAAGAGTCAGCTTTGGTTCCTGGGAAATGCTTACATGCCAGGGTGAGGGTGGGAGAGGAAGGAGGCTGACTTTCAGCTTTGATTATAGCACTTGCACAGCAACCCTGGCCATGCCATTTTCAGTCCCAAAAAAGGAGCTGCGTTTGACATGGAAACCCCTCAAGAGTACTAGCACAAAGCAGAAAAGAAGGCCACCAAGGACAACTGAGATGGCAACGAATGACAATAACCCAACAAAATAAAGCCAAACTTTAAAAAGACCCAGTTTGCTTTGTTCTTTTTTGACTACCAAGTCTCCATGGATTGCCTTTTGTTAAAAACAAAAGCAGCAACCGCTTCAAAAATAACCCATGATATTTTCTTTATAGTTCTCTGGCTAAACAAATCTACATTTCTCAGATATTTTCAAGTTACTGAGATGATTCTAAAACTGTAGTCATGTCTTGAAGATTTTAGATGCTTATGATCTACCTTAAATGTGTTAGAGAGATAATTTCCCTTTTTTTTGGATGGGACTGAGGTTTGAACTTGCAAAGCAGACATGCTACCACTTTAGCCACACCTCCAGTCCATTTTGCTCTGGTTCGTTTAGAGATAGGAAGGTGGGATCTTACAAACTGTTTGCTGGGGCTGGCACTGAATGGCCATCCTCCAGATCTCAGCCTCCCAAGCAGCCTGAGTAGCTAGGATTATAGATGTGAGCCACAGGTGCCTGTCTCCTTTTTCAATATTATATCTAGGAAAAAAAACATGAAGTTTTAAAAACTACAAAGTACAAACTATAAGTTATGTATTAAAGACACTTCTGCAGATATGGCCTATTCCTATTACATAAGATGAACTACACTAGTGTCTCTTCCTGCTTTGCTTTGAAAAGCAAAGAAAATCGCTGTCTCATGAGTATATTTACTCTGAAATGTGTGATACAAAGATTTAAAGAACTGTGGGTGTCTGTGTCTGTCTTTGTGTTTAGGACAGCTCAATATGGAGACTCAATTAATACCTGGAGAATGTATAAAACAAAATGCCTGCTGTCATCAATTATGTGACCTTTAGTTATGATAAAATGGGGAGAAACAAACTCAAAGCTACCTTTATAAGTACTTTGTTAATTATTTGGGACATTGTATGATTATGTACTAATCCAAAGAACAATTATTATTTTGGGGGGAGAAGAAATCTTAATAAATTCTCAATTATTTTCTGACTTACTACAGCCTAAAGTGATTACCACAACAATTTTCTAGTCAAGAAGGGATTTGTAGCATGGGTTTTGTGATTCATTAGCCATGCACTTTTTCTTTTTTAAGGGATAACAATTTTTGATTCAAAAAAATTACTAGGAACTAGGTGAAGTTACAACTTAAATCACCAATAATTTACATCTTTACAGGCTTTAGTGTACTTTAGAGGTACTATCCTATTTTAGATTAAGTAAATACTGATTAGTAGTCCATATACTTGAATGTGAAGAGCAATGATTAGACAGCTTATTTAATAAAATAAGTGCAAACACTGTGTTATTAAGTCCAATTAAATAAACTTTAAAAGGCTTATTAAAATAGCCTCAAACTCTTAAAATAAGACACTTACATTGAATTTAATCAATACTAATAATCATTAAGATTATTTAAACAAGATACTTCTACTTAGTTCAGCTTCTTTTTTTGACAAATTTTATTTAAAACTTTTTTTTATCTATTTATTTTTATTGTTGTGTGGGTGGAGGTACGTTATGGCATGTACAAATGTTCTTACAATATATCAAATAAGTATATATTATATCATTCTTATATCTTTTTTTCAAAAGGGGGAATAATACTCTTGAGGGGAAAAAATCCCAACAGGCAGAAACTGTTATATCAGTCTTTAAAAGAGAAAAAGTCGTATAGTTATCATTTAAGTGTCAACAGAAAGTCACTGAAGGACTCTAGGCATGGCTCAAGTAGTAGAGTGCCTGCCTTGTAAGCAAGAGACCCTAAGTTTAAGCCTCAGTACTGCCCCCCCCAAAAAAAACCATCAAATTTTGCTGAATTTTTAAAATCAGAATCTGAACAACTCCTTATTTTTATCTGAATAAAAGTAGATATGAAATTAATTTGATTCTTTAACTTTACTCTTCAGCAGTTTCAATCAGCCAATAAGAGTCCAACAGCCTGTTTTACAATGAGTAACTCATCATGTGACTTCAAAGAGACACTGTCTGTAAAGGAAGGGTTACAATGGAAGCAGGGCTAGAAAATTATGTTGGCTTTACTTTTGGTGAACTCAAGGATTACCCTACTCTTTTTGGTAAATTTTTATCTTTTAATGTATACCATTAATTTTGCTTATTCAATTTTTTAATTTAACACAATTTGTTGTTTTTAAAAATAATACATAAGCTATCTCACAACTACTTACTTTAAAACTAATACATGAGACAATATCAAAACTATTTTTGAAATTGAAGTTTTTAGATAATTTTCATAGTCAACTAAATAAAGTCAATCCTGTATGATTCACATCAGTACACAAACAGAATTTAAAACTCTATTTGAACCAAATTCCTTCTTTAGTTACTACTTCTAACAAACATCTGATTCCAAAACTTATGGGTACTGCCAATAAGAATGAAATTGGCTAACCTGAAGTTTTTCCTTGTAGTTTTTCCCTCCTGACAGAGGAATAGATGAGTAGTAGGTAAAATGACTTAGTGAGCAGTTGAGGAAAGAATCGAAATAAAAAGAATATGCAATGTGAAAAAACAATGCTTTATCCTCAGATTACTGAAAAATCTTGCTCAAAGTTGTGATTACATTTTTCAGGTCCTGAAATCTAGATGTCAAATTCCACCCCCACCCCCATCACCACCAAAAATATTATAAACGTACAAACATTTGATAGTATTTAGCAATTTCAATGATTAGTTAGCATATGCTATAGTTGCAAATTAATTTGAGGTTGCATTTAAATAAGAAATAAAAGAAAGGGGTAGGGGAAAGGGGATGGTATAGCCAAAACAACTAAATTTTAACATATATTTTCCATACAACTAGTTAAAAACAAACACTATTATAGGTCATGTCAATTTTAGGTGTAAGTGTAGGGTTGGAAATAATTAAAATGTTACCTTTGCCAAGTAATTCCCAATGTATCCTCACTGGTACTGGGGTATAAATGCCTGCCGTTTTGATTCATGGTCCAGTCACAAATCCTCAGCTGTCAATTGAAACCTAGCAGTCAGATATGGATCGAGCAGTACTACAGTTTTTAGTATTTAAATGAACACATGCAAACTAGTATTGTATATGGCATTAACCTTACTTTCCCAAGAGTCAACTTAAAAAAAAAAGCAAAAGAAAATCTTATGCTGAAAAGCAAAATTCCTAAACTTTCTCTTAGAAGAAAGCTATTGCAATATGCTTCTCTATTAATTAAAGCATACAGAGAAACAAGTGCTTAGAACATAACAATTAGCCATTATTAGAGTACAAATTGAGCTGAAATAAAAGCAAACACCTTAATGTTCAACAGAGAGATATATTTTAGAAAGAAAATAAAAATGCTTTTTTTTCTATGCAACATACCAAATCATCTGCACTGTGTACAATCATCAATAACTTTAAGCATGCAGTTTTGCAAAACAGAAGACATGCAGTTTAGGAAGAGAAAGGCCCCACCCTAGACATTGACCCTAACTTAGGTATGGAAGAGTCAAGGTATTCAGTTTTAGATGTTTATTAATTTTGTATTTCGTTTCAAGTGGAATAGTTTAGAATGAGTTGATAAGAATTTTTACTTTCATTTCAAATTCAGAGTAATGGCATCTGAATACTTTACTACATCTGAAGAAAGTGAAGAATGCACTGATACAAGCTGAAACAAATTCTTCCCAGAGCTCAGCACCATCAGGTCTGCCCTTCAGAGATCCTTCTAGTAACTCTATCCATCTCTGTTTGGTTAACAGCTGCCCTACAGTGTTAGCAGATTTATTGAAAAGATATATTGCTTATTTTTATGTTTAAGAAAGTAAACTTATCTGGCTTGGGCGGGGGAGAAACACACTAGAAATTCATGGTTTTTAACCTTTAGAGAGCTAGGCTGTAATTTAACTGTACCCCACATTGCAAAGAGACCGCTTCCCTGAAATCTACTAACCCTGGTGTGCTGCTCTTCAATGAGAGCTTCTAGATGAAGACTGGCTTCTATATGCCTTTAACCTTCTGATCCATTCAAATGTCATATCCATTCTGATAACGTGGTGGCTAAGAAGCTGGCTATTGAGAGTCTTTACCTTTTCTTTCAGACTCGAGTTTCTGTAACTCTAAGTAATAGTGGTTCTGGAGTTTCAGAATGATAGTTTTTATTCCAAAAATATGATCTATAATTCCCAAAACATGCATTTTAATTACACTGACATTTCAAGTAAAAGTGATTTTATAACTTAAAGAACTGAAAAAATGCCCTTCATGTAGATAGATAGACAGAAGTAGATCTGTAGATTCTGTTCAGGATATATGTCATAGAGAACTCATATATCATTGTCAATTAAATTAGAAAGAAAATGTGGATTTTTTAATAGACCATAATACTTGCACAAAAGAAGGAAAATGTACTTATTAGTTTTTAATCAAACATATGACATACTTTTGCTATTTCAAAGAAATAAATTTGTTCAGTCCATACTGTTTGAGAAGCAATATGGTATTAAAAAAAATTTTTTTTTTGAGACAGGGTCTTGCTTTGTAGCCCAGGCTGACCTGGAACTCAAGATACTCCTGACTTACCTTCTCAAATGCTAGGAATATAGGCATGTGTCATCATGCCTGGCTTGAGATTTTTTTTTTTTTAATTTTCAAAGTGAATCACTTAATCAGAAATTCAAATGTGATGGGTTAAATTGTTTCTTTTGAATAACAGGGTAAACCAGTTGTCTATTTTGAAATATGAGTTTTAAAAAGACTATGAAAATCTAAAACCAGTTCAAGAAACTTTACTATGTAAAGATCACTTTAGGGCCATCTTAATTGTTCTTATCAATGAAGCACTCTCAAAGGGGGGGAGGTGGTGTATATCTGGCATAGCATGTCTTAATCCTAGTGATTATTAGCTTCAGGTTAGTTTCTCTAGGACTTTCAGCTTACTGGATAAGTTCTCAGAAGTTGAATACACTTTAACAAAACCAGAGGATTCTGAGAGTCACTCATTCATTGATGGATTGCTGGAACACTATGTCTCCTTAGATGGATGTTTCTGTACTTTGGTTAGTTTTTTTTTTGTTGTTGCTGTTGTCATAAATGATGCTTATGCTTTGTTTGCTTTATTACCCCTAAAATGTCAAGTGGGCTAGTGGGCTATCTTTGGTCACATGCTGAACACTTAAACTCAACATATTTTTGGACTTTTGTTTCCTCAGACTACTCTCAAAGGGGTTAAACATGACTTTAGCTATCCATTTTCATTTATCTTTAAGATACATACAATAGAAATATTTTCTCCCAGACAGAAAAACATGTCTAAATACATACAAAATAATCAATGAATATATTTAGCAATAATTTAATGTCAAGGAAGTTGGCAGGATGTTAGTTACTATTAAATTTCCTTTCATTTACTAAAAATGTAAAATATAACTTAAAATTCTTTGCCTATTTAGATTGTGGACCAGCATTAACATTTTCAAAAGTATCCAAGAAGACATATGTTTGTATATGCTTGTATACTATCACTTAAACCAGCTTAGCTGAACAAGATCCTCTTCATGTTTTCTTTAAATTAATAAACCTTCTTTTGCATAAAGCATCTTTTAATTAATAAACCATCTGATAAAGTGAAAGGCAATAGTGTATATAAGGGAAATAACTAAATAATTAAGTAATTTTACTTAAATAATTATAATAAAAAGTCTTGAAAGATTTCCACAATAAGAGTTTCTAAGAAAATCAATCCCTAAGAATCTTATTTGTCCAAGACAGTCCTGGATCAAGCAAATTTTGAATAGACTTTAGGAGTAAAGGTTAATACTAAGTGTATTTAGGTTTCTTGGGGAGGGGTATTAAATATTTTGTTATTATTATAATTTAGTGTTCCAAATAAAAAAATATTTTTAACAGCAAGGTGTGGTAGTCCACACCTGTAATCCAAACACCTGGAAAATGGAAGCAGAAAAGAGTTTGTGACCAGCCTGGGATGTACAGGGAGACCCTGTCTCAAAACAAACAAACAAACAAACAAAAAATACTTTAAGCTTTAAATAAATTTAAAATAATAAGTAGTCATCTTTTTGAGTTTTGGGGTAGTGATTCTTTAGATTTTGTCCTGTGAGAGGATTAAGTGTTAGATCACTCAACTGTCAATTATTATTTTGTCATGTAAATATAGTTCCTCCACTTACATAAAATTTTCTCCTAACTCCAAAGCTTCAATAACACTCTAATGATTTTTCCCAGGTATTTTCTGTTAAAAAAAAAAAATTGATCCTCTCCTATAGCAATCAAACTTAAAAACACAATGTGCGAATTAGTTTAGAAAATTCCTCTGTTAAAGCTAGTGTTTGTATGTGGTGGTGAGAGGAATTCTTATTTTTCTGATATAGATTCTAAGTCAGACTTGACCAGATGCATATCCTTATAAGAATAAGGATATGAAATTAGATTGTCTCAAAAGTGAAGTAATATCGCTATTAAACCACTTTTGCCCAATATTCCAAGAGACAACAAACTAAAAAAAAAGGTGAAGTAAGGAAATAGGATTCTCCTAAAAAGCTATCAGCGGTATGGTGAAAATAGTCCAAAACACTAAGAAAGAAGTGAAGGTTAAATTTTCATGCATATGTTCTCAGGATGGCTCCACAAAGTCTGTGGAAGAGACTCTTTTTTCCTGGCACAACTCAAATGAGATTGTGTCAGAAAAGCAAGGCTGGACCATCTGGTTTCCCTCAAAAAATCTGCATAAGGGGAAATACCTAAGATACTACACTCAAATAATTATGTAAGTAGCTAATAGCCAAAAAGAATCACTATTGATAGTGATTTCAGAATAAGAGTTTGTCCACTCAAGTGAGGGCCCTTCACTGTTATTAACAGGGGCTTTTGCTAAATGTATAACAATTAGTTTTGGGAACAAAAGCAAGAAGGTAAGCAAAATGCCCTGCTCTGTCAGACTCAGCAAACAGGCTGCTGTACTAACAGTCCCTCTGATGACCACAGTTCTCAGCTGAACCAATAAACCATTACACTGTAAACAGAACAATCAACACAGGCAAATTTACCTTTTCACTTTTGTTTTTTCCTTTTTAGGTTTACTACGACCCTCAGGGGAAGATCTTGAAAGGTATGTTTTATGTTCTCTTGAGTTTCTTCATTTCTCCAGATGCCTCAAGGAGCAGATTTTTAGGGGATGGAGTTCTTTTGGGGGGGTTTAAAAAGATTAACACTTCAATACTATACTTTCCTCTTAATGCTTGGATTAGTAGAATTTTATTTTATTACTATTATTAATTACCTGTTATGGCCTCTGAATAAATAGTATGTAACCTCACTGAACAAGCAAAATGGACAGAATGAAACAGTCAAAAAACCCACAATATTCAAGACTATCTTGATACCTTAAAGTCACTTCTGATACCAATTTCGGAAACCTATGCTTCTTGACATTTAATTTAATTAGAAAGTTAAATGGGCATGAGCTTAATAAATATTACCGAACATAAACATAAATCATAAGCTAAGTACTAGAAAATGAAAGTTTTTTTAGATGGAGGCTACTCTAACTTGTAAACTTCAGGCAAGGTTTCAAGGGAGGCTGGAGACCATGTGATCTCACGTCTTCGATTTCCTTTCTGAGATAAGGATCCAGGAGAACAAGGTTTTAGGCCTGGTTCAAAGTTGGTGTGTTCTGTTCCTGTCAAGACAAAGCTCCTACCTTCTAACTCCTAATCCCTGGTTCTCACCACTACACCAGTTTGCCTGTCATTGTTCCTTTCCTATCGTATCCTTCATGTGCAGCTCAGGAATATTTAAAGCTGGAACAGCTGTAAATAGCACCTTCAGAATTTCCTCTATTTCCCTATTTCAAACTGGATCTTTATGTTGGCAGACTAGCTCAAACGGTAAAAAGGCTTGCCTTAACAAGTGTGAGGCCTTGAGTTCAAACCCTAGTAATGTCAAAAAAAAAGTGTATGTCAAACTGGATCTTTTCAAGGTTAAATACTTTCAAGA